AACCACAGAAGAAGAAAAGCACTAATGTGTCAGTCTTGTTTCTCTCTGCTCACTGCATGCATCAGACACCTTAGGACCCTGACTTGTCATTAAAGTGAACTTAGAAATAGTGTGATTAGCTTCACCCAAAAAATGTTTATAATTTGCTAAACCAAACTTCTAAAAGCTACTGGATTCTGCAGAGTCAGTTCCCAAGGGGTACTGCAATTGTGATAAACCAGAAGCAGAAGGTAACATTCAGTCTCAACAGATAAGTACAATACAGCACTTGCGAGCTCTGTTATCTTAAACAGCAAGCAGAGCAATTAAGTTTCCAAGCAGAAATGCTTAAATTTCAAAAGGACTGTACAGCACATGTTATGCACTAAGGGATCAAGAAAGATCTTTATTGATAAATTGCTTGGTTTTTTTAATAAATGGTAACATTAAAAATTTGAAGTTTAATTGATACACGTTGTCAAGAATTAATAACTTCCACTGTAAACACAGTGTCAGTGAACATGAAAATATAACACATTGCATTTAAATATTCAGGATTTCATAAAGTTAAATATCCATTGCAATGTTTTAATCATGCAGGACAGATGATTTTAGATTAAGTGCACATCACAATATAAGATTAAATAATGTGTCTTAGTCATGACCTTAATCCTGTCACTTATCTCTTCCTGGGAACTGACAGCTATTTTCTGCTAGTTCTTTTTCCAGACATTTCTGTCAGGAGGCTGCATGTTTAAGTTACATTTTGTATGGACTAAACATAACTGAACTTATTTATCTACAGTAAAACATCATAGACATCTAAGTTAATTTAGATTTTATCTCCCAACCGCGTAAACATCCTACAAAATAGCTGGTTCAGGAGGTGATTTAGCAACAGACACAATAAAACAGCTACTTGGAATGTTCCTAATGTTATTTTTATTCATCAACTATTTTAAGGATTAATATTATAAAAATTATTGATCAAATGTATATATTGAATTACAAAATGTATCAATCAATGCAGCTTGGTTTGCTTCTTGGACTTACTTTCACAATGCTTAGGACACCTCTAAACTCTAAATCAATAAACAGCTTAAGGTTGGTCAGCTGCAACAAAGATATTATGTTACAACATGCTAATTAATGAATGATGTTGAATTACACCAATTATGAAGGTATGCTCTGCTTTCTTAACAGTGGTGGCTTTCTAGTGAAGTTACATGAGTCACCCACTTACTTACTGTACCTTATATATTGTATTTACAATACAGAAAATCTTTCTTAAGCCTTCAACACACTTTCAAAAGCTCCTACTGCAGGAGGGGATCATAGTAAATGACGTGACCGCTGATACGTTTAGCATGTGCTCAATATGTATGCAAAGGCATGAATTGAAGACAAAAATACATTGACATACATGAATAATGCAATATGAAAACAAATAATGATGGGTAAGAATATTAAAAATAACATGAAACAAACTGTTCTCTTGTTGTTTTATTATTGAGTTCTCTGATGTTCTTATCCAAATGAGCTTACAGATTTAAAGGTACTTGTCTTTGAACGTTGTCTACAGCTGGGTTTGCGGAGTCACTGCGTTTAAGAAAAGAGCAGTGTCCCCAGCTGGATTTAAGACCGTGTCCTCTATGGCCAGGAGCCCACAGCCCTAATCACGCCTGCACACCGCCGCCTCCGGGCAGAAGGCACAATCTTTATTCTTCACACATTCTACGCTGATGAGATGAATATTTCATGAAAGAGTACTGATTTTGCAGATATGAAGACTTTAGTTGATATGAAGTACTTAAGTTGCAACCGATATTCGATTCTAAATAAAGGCTGTTTTATTTAAAAAAAGAAAAATGAGAATAATTCCAAAACTGTCTCTGTAACAACCCACAGATTAACACAAATTGGTCTTTTTCCTTCTCAGCTGATGTCCTGATGTGGTTCGGCCACGTGTTGCTGAATCTGTCTTACCAGATCACTGCAACACACAAGGACTGTCTGCTAAGTGAGAGTGTTGAGGCCGACTCCTCTTTTTCCCTGATGAGCTGTAATGGAATTACCCAGAGGTTTTATGTAAGGTACCCTCCCTCTCTCACTTATCCCATCACATGACAGGAATCTACTGCATAATAGCTGGAAATGAAATTACTTCTATACTAGAGACCTCCCAAATATGGCCTTTACAATTTTACCAGATGACACCTGAATTCCCCGGCTGAGCAGGGCCCAGGAGGTCCTTGAGTACGAGTGTTACTCTAGTGGCATGCCGAAATGCACCTGAACCCCACACACTTTTTTTTATTGCAGCAGAAGCCATGATTTGAGCATTCCACGCATCTTCAATTTTGTACCACTTATCACCAAGGGAAAGCTCTTGGAACAGATAAATAAAATGTATGTGATCGACCATCAATCCATTATCTGGGTGAGAGAGATTTAAGCCAGGAACTAGTCCAGAATTAAAGTGCAAAAGGCAGTACAGAGAACACACATACACACCCACTGAACAGGACACCAGTCTATTGCACAGCCACTGAGAAAGAAACAAATTTTATAAACCTATTCAACCTAGCCAGCACACTGAACCGGTTCAAAAGCCTTTCCTTCAGATACTGCTGTTGTGCATACATAATATATAAAAGATCATTAAAGCTAAATGACCCAGTAGCCTCAGACACTATCCACAATAACATAGAACAGTGCACTGCCCGGAGAATTACTGGAGATTGATCTGAAGAAAACAATTCCTGACCTGATACTCTGCTAATGGTATCATGAAACACATCAGCCTTCCTGGGGATTGCTTTGTTGAATAGCTATTGAGCAGCGAGGAAAAAAAGAGACATTTCCAAATGTGACAAGCATGCTGCACGTTCTGTGGTAGAAGCGGAGGAAAAAATCACACCTGAAAGAATTCGGACAATGTGAAATATACCATGAATATCTCCATCCTCACATTGGGGTGTACGACTGGATTAAGGAAAGGGTACTTCTGATGAGAGCAGTAAGACAGCGGGGATAATAAAACCTAAAAGAATCTATATTTAAGCCAATTTCATCAGCCGTTTTCAAAATTGTGCTTAAAGATGATGAATAAACGAGAAGGGCATGAAGTAAGATTTTTCTTTCCAGGGAGCATTTAAAACTACACATTTCCACGCAACTGACTGTCGCACAACACACAAATACATCCACCCTTAAACAAAGATCTGACGCAATAGATCCCAACTCAGCGTCCGACACCTGCAGCCATGTCGTCGACCCCATTTACTGCTGAAAGGGCCACCTGCTGTACGATGGAAAAACTAAAAGGCATTTAGAAGACCTTTGTGGAGCATTTTAAAGATTCAGATACAACAGTAGCGTAAGCAGCATGCCAGTTCATTGCTAATAATTGCATTGCTGAAGACGTTGCCATCTGTGGAATCTGTATCTCAACAGTGTTTCTTACATAACACTGACTAAGACAATATGAACTTAACTCAAATGTTTAAGAAAATTAAAGCTTTCTGAACCGTTTACTATTCATTTCCACACAGCTGAAGGAAGGCATTTGCCAGAAGTTTCCTGTAATAAATGGTTTTCCTCAATCATTTAAACCCTTTGTGTATATCACAGAAATGTATTCAGTGATAAGAGATTTTTTTGCTCATAGACTTCAACAAGTCAAAACGCATTTAGTTCAGTTCAGTGCCTCTGAACACTGCCTTCCTTTTTACTTTACGCTTGTCATTGCTGTATTTCCTTGTGATACAGCTGATCATGGATAATTACATTGCTTTTGCAATCATGTCAACCTCCTGAGAAGTGTGTCAAGTCAAATTAGATATCCTGCACTACTCTTGCTTTTAAAATAAAAAGGTCCACACTCAAGCCTCATTAGTCTGGAACTTGTTCGGGTCTCTGCACTGTAAGAAAGTGACAGAAAATGTGTGGCTCACCTCTTGTTGGGATGTTAGTCCAGTACAGGGGTACAGTATTACTCCCACCAGTTCTGGGACACGTATTTTTGCAGTTTGGTGAACTGAGGCAAAGTGGGGGGGTTAAGTATCTCACTTAGGTGTCCATTAACAGTGCTCACTTCAAAAACATTTAACGCCAATCCAGTCCAGAGCACCTGCACTTACCCTGAGATGCCCTTGTTGGTTAAATTGCTGCTGTTTCATTATAACATAATAGATGTGGGAGGACAGAACAAGTTCCCCAGCCATGATGGGGATGCTGGTAGGTTGGGCTCCTGTAGTTTGCAAGCTTTATGTTTCCAACACTGAACAGTATCTGTGCATCGAGCATGCATCGGGCAGGAAAAACTCACAATCATAAGTATTCGTGGTGCATAAAACAGAGGAGTGGGGTAGGAAAAATTCTTTAAGATGAGAACAATTTTATTTTGCAAAAATGCCAGAAATGTTCAATCAAATTTTTCAAGTTTGATTTCAATAGCTTCCTGAAAATGAAATAAGAATACATTCAACTCTTGTTTAAACGAGCACTTTACTGAGTAGTACTCGCTAAATTAGCAATAGATACAGTATACTGGCCTATTTCTACTATGAAATGTTGTGATTATGGGCATTATAAATGCACTGTATCACTATAAAAAAAGACAGCTAGATATTCTATCTTATGTGCAGTTATGATTTTATTCTGTCTTTGCATAATATTTATTAACTAACTTTTCAAACATGAACTGGCAAAGAAGAGATAAGAAGACCCACCCACACGTTAAAAAGAGAGATGGAGGAAACAACAACATCTGCTCTGTGAGAGAAACAGATTTGGATCAAGGCACTCATCGCTTTTCTGTGGTCCAATTAAAGAATGTGGTTTCAGATGTATAAAAAGATAAAACTTTTGTTATCAGAGACTGATAGGAGATTGATAGTAAAATTGAAGACAATATTGCAATTTCATGGCACAACAAACAGAACTAATTGAGCTTTGAAAGCGATTGAAAAGTTAGAAATGCATGCAGAAATTTTATATCTGACCTTTAGAGTTCTCACCTTTAGTTTACGGTCATGATCTCCACTGCACAGGGAGTTCAAAGATACTTTGAAGGTTTTCCAAAGCGGATTAAGGTTGTTCATAACAGTCTGCCGAAAAATGAAGCACATTAGACATACAGAAGAAACATCTCTTTAGTTTAGATATTCACTTACCTCACAATGTACTTTCCACAGGCTGCCAAGTGCACAAACATCTTTGCTGGATGCAATGCTTGTATAAAACAGCACCCATCAAACTTTATTTGAACTGTGTGTACTTTCGTGAAGTTGAAAAAAAGAAATTAAAAATTCAGAAAGGACAATTAAAAGTATTATCAGCCTATACCCATGTCTTAAGTAGAGGCCGATGCTCATGTTTCATCCATTGCAACTTGAAGTATTTAAAGTTAGGGGCCTGTCATAAAATAGCAGTGCTCCTCCAGAACAGACAGACGTGACCAGGGCCATTGAACCTGTCACTGACTCATCATGAGGCTTTAATAACCCCGAATGATCAAAGCTGCCGACTTAACGAATACTCAGCTGTTTCTTCCCAAATCACTTCACACCTCTCAGCACTGATTAATTTGTACTTGGAGGGACACAGTTCCTGAAGGATTGCGGTTGAATTTCAAGGCTCTGTTGCTGATTGATAGTACTTCAACTTTACTCATTGTTTTGCTCGCTTGAATTATGACAAAGAAAACAACTCAGATGACTCACTTCTGTGTTTTTAATCCACCCGAATTCTGAATTTCTGGCACTGACCCCTTTCTCATGTCATAATAAGGAAGATAGAACGTCAACGCAAATATCAGGGATATATAAACTATTATTCATAATATGTATTCTTAAGGTAAAATAGAACTTCTTCCAGGTAATTTAAAAGGTATAAAGATTTACTTCAGTGAATGAATACACAATCGTTCAGAGGACTTGCAGTTACAAAAAGCATGCAAAAATTTCCAGACCTGGAATATTTCATTAAAGACCTAAAAAAGTGTGATGGCCACAGATCCAAAAAATGCACATACTAAAAAAAAACCTGTAAAGATTCTTAACTGATTTGGAAGATTTGATCGTTATCATTTTGGTGGGCTTCGTGCAACAGCCTCCATTACAGGTAAGTGAATTATTTAAAACGAAAAAATCAATTTCAGAACTCATTTTTTAAAAATCCAAGGAAAATGAAAATAACCTGCCAGGAAGACATGTATTGTGGGCTGAATCCACTAAAAAACCAAGGGTTATAAATGCATAGCATAGGATGTCAAAAGGAACAGGATGAAAGGGTCTAAAAATATATCCCAGCATGTTGCTACGACTGTTCAAGAAACATTTTTCTTTTTATTATTCACATTCTGACACTCGGCTGTTTTCAAGACGTCAGCTCATATGCAACTGTATGTTAGACCAGGAGTGAGACCCCTGTAGGACTGCTGTCTGTACCCATATAAAACCTGCAGCTTGGCATACACAGTAAAACGCACTCTTCGGAGACAGCTGGGAAAGTTTCCTATTTTGTAAAGAGAAACAGGCTTATATCACAGTGGTACTGAATTTAAAATGTTAATATTGTGCATCTAAACCATCTCTTTTAAACTCTCTAATTTTCACTTTTCTCAAGGTGTAAATTAATAATAATATTAATAATAATAAACTGGGAAATGTAAATATCCCTAGGTGACCAACCATCCATGTTCAAAAAGTTATCTGAATAATCCACTACAGTGTCCACAACCTCACCTCAGTTCTGTGTACAAGCTGCTGAGTGGCATCGTCATTTATTCTGAATATTTCCAGAAAGGGATCAGACTTGCTGAAAAAATCCTGGAGAAATAAAAGAAAGCGAGGCATTGCGAATATATAAAACACATTAAGACAGGTGCCAAGAAGTTACTGCTGATGGATAAATATAATCGCGGCTTTGGCTGGTTGATATGGCTCCTGCAGGGCTCTTTTGAATTCTGTATCGTACAATATAACATAAGCTTACTATGTTACCACCAAATTATTCAACGTTGTATCTTATACTGACAATAAATTGAATAGGAAAATCTTTACCGAGACATCAAAGAATCAGTTGCGACTGTTGATTTTTTAAATTCTATTAAAATACTCAAAGAAGTACGCAACAGGCACATTGTTTTTGATTCCCGAATCTTGCTCTGAATTTATTCAAATGTCTTCTATTAATAGCAACCACAGATACATTGTATAAAGTGCTAAATTACTCAATCGTTATAGTACTGTACATTGTCTCTCAAAAAAAATCTCAACCTCACACCACAAATTTCTTAATATTTCTTCAGAAATATCACTGATACTGAAGTACAGTATGATATCAATTTGCCTATTCTGTTCATTTGTCTTAACCAGAACCTACTACGCCTTTTGATATGGATGTGATATACAGAGGCTGTCAATGGATCAGTTTATGAACTCTGCCATTTCTCTCTGTTTATATTACTCCGTTGAATTATTCATGTTATTGCTGTGGAATGTACTGTATAATATAAAGTAAGCTTTGCTTCCTAATCACTTCCACACAAGAGCCATGCTTCTTTTGTCACTTACACTTTACGTGACAATTTTATTTGAAATCCATAAGGAATTACCTCTTATTTCTGTGTACACTGAAGTGTAAATCAGACAATACTTATATTGAATAATTGAAAGGTTTCTGCATTACAAATTATCATCAGTGTGTATTATGGGGGGGAAATGCAGTAAAATGAGAACAGGCACATCTAAAGCTGGACTTCTTTCATTTTCAGTCCTGAAAATTCACATTTGCTTTAACGGAAAAGGAACTCAACACAGCAAAATATTTTCCACTGCCTTTTCTTACAACTGCGTGGAGCATGTAGGACAGTAAGTGCAAACAAGGGTGAAAGCAGACTCGTGACAATGCAGGATCACAGTCCTTATTCTATCGCTGCATTTAATTCATCATTTAATTAATGTAATTCCATATAATCCAGAAAAGACGGAGATTAATTACGTGATCTGTTGACTCTGTTGAATGAAACAAATTAAATCAAAAGGTATTTTGAAAAAATTTGTCCAACTTTGCAAGCAAAACTTAAAATCTTGTTGATCTGTGGACTGCTGGAAATACAGATTGCTTTCTTGCAGATGTACACCAACAGCAGAGGTCTCCCCTTTCACTTAGTGTTCTTAGCATACTCATAGGCGTTTCTATAATCTGTTATCTTTAGTTCATGAAACGAAGGGTAATGTGCTATAGAAATGTAATAATGGACACCTTACTAGTATAATGCTTACTGATATAGTAGCAACCCTACCTAAAGGAAGAGGAGACACGTTTATTTTGCCACTCTGGCTCAATCTCAGATCCAGATTCAGACTTGAACCTGGCAATGATCCAAATCATGCATCCAACTGAACAACAAAGACTGCACACAGATCAAATGTCCTCAACAGACCATCTCAACCCCCAGACCTCAATCCAGTAAAACAGCTGTGGTCTGAACTCAAGAAGGCAGTGGCTCTGTGGCTCAGGATCTACGCCTGTGGCTGGGAGGCTGCCCGTTCGAATCCCGCGGCCGGCAGAGGAATCCTACTCTGTTGGACCCTGAGAAAGGCCTTTAACCCCAGCTGCTCCAGGGGCGCCGTATAAATGTCTGGCCCTGCGCTCTGACCCCCAGCTTCTGTCTGTGTGTCTCATGGAGAGCAAGCTGGGTATGCGAAAAGACAAATTGCTAATACAAGAAATTGTATATGGCAAATAAAGTGGATCTTATCTTGCTCCTGTTCCATCAGGGATATGAATATCTCTGCATGGCACTATCTAGTGTACATTAACTGTTGGTGCCATACTTCAAGAAAATGTTTATATGGTACAGAACTGTATTTTCTGTTAGTTCTGGATAGCTTTAAGAGAAAGGAATAAAAATATATTCTAGCAGCTACTTCATTGAAGCTGATTACATTGCATAACATGATATACAGCAGCAATGCCTGCAGAGTAACCTGCAGTTCTTTGAAAGGATGCTGCCATAAAATTACAGTTCAAAACCAGTAATCTAGCAGCTGTTGGTAAATATCATCTTCTCTCCGTGCGTCTCTTTCAAAGTCAGGATACATCGCCTGATAAATGTCAGCAATTTATTACCAAAATGAAGCGTCTGCAAACTTTTAGTTTAGGAACCCAGAAAAACACAGATTTTCAGCTATTAGAGATCATTGATATAATCACAGGCTTGCCACGATGCTAATCTCTCTTGCACTGCTTTGCTCTCTGATGATGTATTTGTTCTAGCATAAAATAATACTGTTTTGAATGTATCTTCCTAAAAATCTGCAAAAACTTAATACCTTTACTGTAGGTATATTTCAAGAAGTGTCTATCTCAGACCAAACAGAAGACTGAATATTCTCTTCACTGTTCTTCATCATAAAACAATGAGTGATTAAATGATCCATTTAAAGTCCTGTACTTACTCTTCTAGATATCATTACACAACTGAACACCCTCTTACTGAAAAACTGTACAAAGGAAAGTGTTTTCAACCAAAGGACTTTTCAAGAATAGAAAAGGTTTGGAGGAATGAATAAGGCACAAAATGAAAATATGCATGATGTCTCTACGTAAGCAATCATGAGCAGCAATATTTTGAATACAGTATATGTTTAATTTAAAGAATCTTATCTGTTATCGTGTGCTTAATTAAATCTATAGCTACAGAGAATTCAGTTTCCCTAGCCACCCTTTATAAGTGTTTGTGTGATACTTGGGGGTGAAATTTAAAAGGGAGGATTTTTGTATTAAATTATATTTGTAGGCACTTCAGTACAGTTTTTTTTACAGTTATTAAGATGCAGAATAATCTCTTACCTTGTCATCCAATTTCCTTGCACTAAATGAAAGCTCAACATAGTCGTCATTTCCAGATAACTCTTCCGCAATGACCTAAATGAGTAAACAAATAGTTTCATTTTTCAGTCTTTTTTATCACCTTTATGTTTCGTGTCTTGCCCCAGCTGGGTGTTTAGCTGCAGGTTTCTCTAAAAGGATTTGTGATAAAACTGTATCATAGCTCACAGAAAAATCCATTCAAAATGAAGAGAAACAGCAGCAACAACAAAAGACAATCAGAAAAAAACCCTATTGACCCATACCTGAAAACTACATTTGTGAATGTCATGTAGTTCAAGAATTAGTGCACATTAATTTTGTTTCAGCATCAGAAGGCGTCTCCAGATAATAACCTGTAAAACTGAAGTAATATCTCACATAGTCTACCTACAACTGTGAAGTTCTATTAACAGGGGTGCAAAAAACTTTCTTCTCATTTAGTCGCAGACTATATACATCCTTAATCGAGATGCATATCTGATGTGCACAGAACTATTAGGGAATTGTTGCTTCTGTGCAAAGTATCATGTAATATCTGAACAGGTAATTATATTGGAGCTGTGGACTCTTGATTTTAAGGTTACAGATAAGAGCAAGCCATAGCACATTTGAATCTAAAGAAGGAATCCACTCATCCTCAGCTCAAAGCATGTAAAAGAGACTGACATATTCCATTAATAATGATTGATCCGATTGAGCACTGCCTCAGCAAGAAAGCAGTACTTCAAGATCAGCCAGCAGAGTCTACATGAGCCAGCGTGTCAGATGTCTTGAAAGATGAGGGAGTTCTGCCTGTTTGAAAGTGATTCCAGCTATCACATTTTATGACTCATTAACTATTGCTGCACTAAACCATATTCAATTCAATACATATGTCTGCAATCCCATTAGAATTCTGTTTTTTATTAAGCATCATACCTTGTGCTTTATGCCCAATTCTACATTTCTTATCAATGCTAAGATTCTCTTTTGAAATATCAACAGCAGCACAAAAAGGAGGCACAGAACATGGTCAGTTGCTTCTATGGTTGTTTATCACAGAGACCAAACTTGTGAGAATGTGCTGAAAGTCATTCATGGTCCGATCACTCAAGAGAACAACCAACGCTAAATCCTGCATATCTGACTTGGAGCTCTTCTCACAAAATGCATCCTCTCTGCACTTTAATTTGCATTTTCAAATGACATCTTCAACTCTCGCCGTATGCAAAGTCTTTTCACAACATCTTAAAATAAGCATTACATTTCCAAGCACCTGTGAGCAAGTCCTTCTGCCCACAAACCCCAAACACAGGTTCTGGGGCTCCCTCCCCTTTAGGAGTCTCACAAGGGGTGCAAAGCACATCCAGCCTGCAGCTGGCACTTCAATCTGTGATTAGATTGGTACCTTAATATTTTTAGTGGAGATGATAAGAGCCATATACCTCATATTTGTTAGGTATACGTTTCTATTTGTTGCTTTAATCAAAAGCATAATTGAATATTCTGAAAAAGGAAGGACTAAGTAATATACTCCTGTTATTTACATATATTCGTGTTGTATTTTTACATAACGCCTACTTCTCTTTCCGAACTATAAACCATTTCAACCAGCTGGCAGCTCACCTGCATTCTTTGCGATGAGAATGTTTCCTCTGCACGTCAGGCTCATTGTAATGCATAAGACAGGAAAACGGTCTGGAGAGCTGAATATTAGCAAGCTGATTTTTTTTTCACTAAAATTGTTTTCTGTAGAAGTTTGCATGATTATGCAAATAGCCAGGGATTGTCATTAGCATTCCCGGTTGCCCAAAATATGACTATGAAATGTAGCATGCATTCATAAACATTGCTCAAAGGACATTAATCTTTTTACATTTGTCTAATATAGCCGTGCTTAAATAATGAATAGAGAATCGATATAATAATGGGATTATGCATTTCAACTATGATTATAATCTACAGCAATAAAAACTAAAATATTTCTGTTATTTAAGAATGTGGAATAAGATCTCCAAGGACATGCAGTTATTTCTGCATGTGTCTGTTGTTTGATATGTCCCAATGAGAAAAAACTCTGAATAAACAGTGGCCTTACCGTTATTGAAGATTTCCCTGCCGTGTTTCCATGTTTAAGCAATGATTTTGAAAGTTTTCTCTGGGACACAATCTGTTAAGAGAAAAGACCAAGCAATAAGTATTTGACATTGCTTTTTCCCCAGTGTAATTTTTGAAGTGCTGTAGGAGAAGGTTACAAAATTAAGAGGTTCCAGAATAATAAATGCTACAATTTCAACAGAAAATGAAATGGAAACATATTTCTATTCTGTATGTATATTTTACACTTTCTTCCACATTATTTGAATCAGAAAACTAGGACTTTCTCTGAAATAAATGCAAATATTAATACTTTATCTCATTAAAAATCATTTCCATTCCACTATTTATTATCTCCTTATTTAGTTATTTTAGTTTGGATCGACTGTAACCCTAATAAAACACATATGAATCCTAGTTAATTGAATTAGAAACAAATTAAATTAAATAGTAAATGTATTCATTCAAACAATATGACCAGCCTGAATGAATTTTGAATGGCAAACAACAAATACGAAGAAGCAGATTTGTTTTTCTAATTTGCAGAGAGTTTGTCTTGGATAATTAAAGCATAAATAAAGCATTAGTTTCGCAAAACAAAATTAAAAATTATTCTGAACAATGTCAGTATCCCAGCTGTTTAATCTAAGCATACAACACCTTAGAAAAGGTTTAAAAATGATAAACTCAGAGATTAAAAAGGAATTTGAGGATCAGAATAATTAGCAAGAGTAAGAAGAGTAACTGTGGTGGTGCCTTCCGTGATGAAAATCCTTTGTCTGGTTTTGACAGAGGAAAGAAACATTCAACAGTTCAATACAGAAAGCACACACTGAAAAAAAATAAATAAAGCAGAATTATATTTATTAATACTACTTTAAAATACTCATTTTAATGTAGTATTGAATTAAGATGTCTATTCCTTTTTAATGAGTTAATGAATGTAGTTAGGCAATTTTCCCCTTTAGCAATTACGACAGTTTGCTTTAAAAGAAACCTCACAAATCCCCACAGGTATTATCAGATAGGAGCCTTCTTTGACACAACAGTTTTTCAAATTGTGAAACTTAAAACAATACCTACTTGGCCAAGGGTACATTCCATTCCACCCAGGAAGTCGGCATCTTTCAGGCCGTTGTGGTTACTGCTGATATCATAAACTTCAAATCGCAGTCGCTGAACTTCTTCAAAGTAAAAATCCACAGTAAACACTTTGGAGAAGATTGGACTTATAGAGCTTCTGATTATCTCTGTTCTGTCAACCTGTTAAACAATTAGAGAAATAAATACCTGCCAGTCTGAGGAACAGGAAGACAAGAAATATTTGAAATCAAAGGAGGCGTGTTTCTCTAGCATTAACAACCATGGCTAAACCCCAGTCTCTGTGGTAGAAAAGTCCATCCTTATCCTGGCCTTAAGTATCACTGCACCTAAATTGGCTTCCTTCAGTCGAGGACTCTGTTAGATCTTTATTTCAGATTACTGGTTTGAGGTGCCATTGTCTTTTAGAATGTTCCCACAGTTGCGATGATAATGATGGTGTTGCTGCCTCATACAAGGTAGTCTGCAGAACCCTCAATGGAAACAACAGCCAAAAGCACGAAGTTTATCATACAATAAATGAAATATGCACTTGTACCCCAGGAGTGCACTGAGGTTTAAAACAGGACAATATACTAAAGTAGATATAGGCCATTCTGATCCTAAAGAACCACAGTCCTGTCCGTCTTCTTGTTCACCTCAAGTGATCCGCTTGTGTATACTTGTAACACACATGGGTTCTGCTCAATTTAGTAAATTTGTTGATTCAATTAAGTCAGGAATGGCCAGTTGTGTTTCTCCGGGGGCTACAGGATGTTGGTATTGACATTTCAATTAATCTCTAAACTACTTTCTAAAGCTCTAAATTGCACCACTCACTTACACAAGTGGTCACAGTGACATTGTTCCAAGACTCGCGTGTCGAATTTGATCGCTCAAAGGTGACATACAAGGCCTGCTGGAGTGTGACAGAGCTAAACCTGCAGCAAAGGTTTCTTCTGGCAAGGCAATGGAGTGATCCCCCCTCTACACATCAAGACACCAAGACGAAACAAATGTCTTGAAACAGACTTTAACAGATCCATCCGTTTACCTAAATATTCAGAAGACAGATCGCTGGTATGTGATACCATGTCAGTTATGAAATGTTGAATTTAGTCCGTAAGCTTTACCATATACAGTATGTGCATTGGTAATTCATTTCTGCTTTTCCCTGTTAAACAAAACATGTTCCTGTGGATACAACAGTTAGAATGTGATTCTGATGATTTCAGATGGCAGCAGTAAAACCCAAAGGAGAAGGGCTAACATCTGTTCTCCTTCTAGAAATAACTCAACACAAGCATTCCACTTTTATAGAAAATCACTCTGATTGCTGAGTAACGGGGATGTCTCTCTATTGATTGGAGGGTTACAGGTTCAACTTATAATTTAAAACATTCTAATGCATTTTAGCATTTAATTTTTGCAACCATTGTTTTAATAACATTAGCATAAGTAGAGCCCTTTGCCAACCCGCAGCTGAATTTGGCTCCATGTATCTAACTCTATATTAGGCTTAGCACTGTTTGAAGTGACAGGCAATCACACCTGATGCCATCAGAAAATAACAGAATTCAAGCTGTAACAACAGCGCACAGATGGCAAACAAGATACTATATTTGTCATGATATTTTCTTGCCATGGGGTATCTATAATTACAATAACACTGACTACTGTTTCGAGGTGCATTTATTCTTCCCTACAAAGACATAAATTCTTTTAAGCATAAAAGATTACCTAAACCAACAGCTCCTACATGCATGAATGTTGTTTTCTGATATGTTGAAAATCCTATTAATGTCAAATTATTTTTGAAAAAACATAGATTGAGCTTTGTTAAAATTTACTCTGGATTTATTAGGATCCTGCTGAAACTAAATCACTGTACTGAAAGTTGTGAACAAACACCTTGCTCTTTAAACAGCATTATATCATCTCAGTATCTGAGACAGTATTCTGCAATTTTTCATTACTCTATAATGTACATCACTGAGACCTGAAATTACAAAACATTAAGATATTAAGTTTTTAAATTTAAAAGTATGTTTTGGTAGGTTACTTCAAAAGGGGAATTGTACTACTGCATTGTAGTTCTGGAGTTCTCACTACATGAGAGAACACTTAAGGTGTGTGATGGAAAGTAATAGAACATTGTGCATATGAGGTTAGAAAAAAAAAGAAATGCAAAACTGTCCCTGTGTACTAATTGTTTTTAAAAGCCTTTGTTACTTAAATATTTTATGAAAGGTATAACATCCCTGTAAAAAGAGGTATCTTGGTAAAAAAAAAAACAGATGTGTATACACAATATAGCCAATCCAATAAAATTTAAGGCTAGTTTGTAGTCCACCTCTCTATATTCAAGCGACACCGTGTTGATTGTTTTGAGAGCCGCTTGCACGAACCAAGAAGGAATGGATTACTGTCATTTCCGATGCCAACAGCTGGTTTAGCTACCACTGTGTAACTCACACGCTGTTTGTTATAAACATCGTATTTTCTGCTTCATAAACGCTATACACGTATAAATGAAAACCTCACACAGGATAATACAGGGACAGGAGGGTCTCGTCAAACCGTCCCTGTTAAAGAACCGCTTGCCACGTAATCAGAAAAACGATTCCCCCCGACACACATGAACCGCATCCGCATATTTCCCCGGATATCAGCGCAAGAGCCTCTCACGGTCGATACCGGTCGAAACCTCTGACTGGCTCAGAAACTGCTTTCAAATGGAGGTAGAGAGGTGCATTATATCTGGTGCAGCCAGTTCAGCGGTCTCCCCGTGAGAATTTGAAGAATGCGGCTGGCCTTAAATGAGATGACCCCGACTCTTGGGAACTCACCTGGGCTCCCCACACCTGCTCTGCTGCACCTCCTAATATGTTTCTTCGCCACACACGTCCAAAGACGTGCTACTGCGTCATCCCCGAAAATATTATCTCAGTAGCTTTAAAACCTTTAGGTTCTAACTGTTCCAAAAGGATTCTCCACAGTCTTAGATGTAGAAAACCTCAGCTGATCACATATGAACACCTGCTTACAGTATTTAAAAATAAATACAAACCCTGACCTGAGTGAACACGTACTGTATCTGGAATACATTGCTATTTGAGTATGAGTTCTTGACATGGTAAGCAAGGAGCACAGAAAACAGTTACACATGTCTGTTGCCAAACTGCAAAGGTCTAAAGTTACAAATTCACCACGTGTTGAAATAGAAACATAAACAACTTGTCTATTTCAGAGCAACGCACATTACAATATTTTGTACTTTTCCTCATGTCCAAAAAATGTTATCTTTTGTGGTTGCCATTACACCCCCAGTAGGCTAGACCAGGATGATCTGGGTATACCTAATTCCACGCACACACTGGGTATCCTTTCAAAGTTACGAAATACACTGCAAACTCCCCCAAAGTATTCAAGGCTATTTCTACTGCATGTCAGAACTCAAGAGGAATTAATTTCCTACCAGATGACCTGCAATCAGCCTGTCCTGAATAATAACGAAAAGAGTAAAGAAATGTAAAGAAAGAGCCTATAAGTGGTCTTACCATGATCCCCAGTGGACAGTAATTCAGTTCTCAGAAACATCCTGCAGCTTGGTACAGTTTCACACAGTCCAGCAGCCTCTTCTGGCTGGGGTCCAGCACTAACTTCACTTGCAGAGCTACTGTATGAGAAGCCCCTCTCATGGCACACTGCTTGCCAGTAGACTGTGATAATCCTACGCACACACTAGTGCCCCTTATACACAAGCACTCGTAAAACACAATACATAAATATATAACATAAATGAATTTCATACAGGGCACAGGCACAATAGTTTGGCACCACAAATCTTCCTTGTAACTAGGTCACTCGCTGACCTAGATACATAAAGTAATGTGATTTGTCTATTTGCTCTTTCTTTATGCAGTAGGATGTTTTCTGTCCCCTGTAAATTACTACATACTCATTTTAAAATAAGTGTTGCAGTGACCTGGAGAAAAAATTGCAAGAGCTGTTGAAATATCAAGTAAGGAGCTCATAGTACTCTCACACAACCCTTTTACCTACAAGGATTACTAAGACAGAAGGTCACAGAAACCTAGAGTCACCACTGGGTACATCGCATACAGTAACTGCAGAGATTTGTCTTTGCTTTATTGATGAACTTTGAATCCCAACAGTTTTTATTATTTAGGTACTAAAGTGCATCAAACCAGCAACCTACAATATCACTATAATAAAATATTTAGAATTTTTGTTACAAACATTTCTACAGATATATCAAAGTATAAAATTATAAAATATAAAAAAGAATGCATGTTTAGTAGCCATATTCTCAAAGGATGCTGTCAAAGTAGTTTACATTAATGCAGTGCAAAATATTTCAGTGGATTTTGCTGATCCAATTGCCTGTTTTTAAAATCGATAAAAATGAATTCAAACAGACCTTTATACACATGAGTATGCTGAAGAGAATACATACAATATTTACAAAACTAAGTGTATAAGCACCCATGTATGCATGTTAGGGAACTATATACAGTATAAATTATCTTAATTTGGGTGCTTTCAAAGGTAAAAGACAACCTGAACAAATTCAACAGAATTTTAGATTTGTTTAAGGAAATATCTTCCTCCTCCTCTGTATCCATGAGTCTTGTTGATAATGCTCAACTTTGAATTGCTCAAATGCTAATAGCATTGGCTTAGATAGAATTGACATGCGCATCTTAAAAAACAGTATTTGTAACTGAACACATCTGAGGAAGATATTTTTTCTTTTAAAGGTCTTTATTTCTTACAGAAGTGCTGTCTTACAAATAACCTCTTTTATTGACTGAGTATTTAAGTATTTTCTAGAAAGGTCAGGTACCAAGAAGGAAATCTCAATATGTTAGAAAGACAACTCATCTGAACACTGTCAACTGATTAAAGAACCCAAAATGTTTTCTTTTATTCAGAACATAGAGGCTTGTGTGCTTCAGATTTTCTGAATATGTTAGTGAGAGTGTCTGTAGTTATGGGTGTTTTTAATATACAGTATTCAACATCCAGTTCCAATTTGTAACGTCAGTCCTGCTGTGTGTGGCCCGGAACACTGCAATCAAAACGTTTAGGTGTGCAGCGTCTCCACTCGGCTGATCTTTAATCTCAGTTAGATGTTTTCCTCAAATATCCTGAATGAG